ATTCAGTGAAGCATCTGAGATCACTTCGAAAGGCTTCGTAAAATCCGGGTAATTCAACAAAACGTCGTTCGATAGTCGAGCTTTGAGCGTTTCAAAGGCTCGTATGGCTTGCTCAGGCCATTCATCTGGTAATCTTTTCACACTGAAGAGATCTGTCAGAGGTGCAGCAAGGGAGCTAAAACCTGCGATAAATTGCCGGAAATAGTTCGCAAGGCCAACGAAAGATCGAAGTTCAGAGATGTCCTTTGGCAAGGGCCAATTTCGAATGATCTCAACCTTCTTGGGATCCATACGGATACCTTCTGCGTTCACGACATGTCCGAGATAGTGGACTTCGGTCTTCCAAAAATCGCACTTGAAAAGCTTGACACGTAACTGATTTTCCTCAAGGACCTTTAACACCACCCTTAAATGGCGTGCGTGTTCTTCTGGGGTCTTGGAAAATATCAGAATGTCATCCAAGTAGTAGGTTCAAATATGGTGCAAAGATGCGATTCATCAAATTCTGGAAGGTTGCGGGGGTGTTCGATAGGCCGAAAGGCAATACAAGCCACTCGAAGTGTCCGAGAGGGGTTGTGAAAGCCGTCTTAGGAACATCTTCTGGAGTAATCCGCAACTGGTGGTAGCCAGAAGCTAAATCAAGGGCCGTGAAAATCGATGCACCAACGAGACGATCGAGTGTGTCATCAATCCGGGGCAAGGGGTATCGATTCTTGATGGTAATCTTGTTCAAAGCCCGGTAACCAATGCACATGCGTAACTCTCCGGTTTTCTTAGTCACGAAGAGGATTGGAGCGCCGAAAGGCGAAGTTGAAGGACGGATGAATCCTTTCGCAAGCAAATCTTTGACTTGCTTCTCTACTTCCTCTCGTTCTAACAGCGAAAGTCGCCACTGGGGTCGGAAAGTCGGTTGCGCATTCGGTTCCAGTGGGATAGTGTGGTTGACACCTCTATCCGGTGGTAATTCTGTAATCGGTGCGAAAACATTCGGAAATTCGTTGATAATCTCCACAAGGGATTCATTCTCAGTAATGTGTGGTGGCAGATCCACAGCATTAAGCGTTGGTGTGTCTGTGAGCAGGGATGCGGTTTGCTTCACGACAACAAGCAACGATCGACAGCCAGCTTCGTTCAAATCTCGATAAATTCTCTTCGGTGAGACGATCTTAATTGTCTCAGGTCGTTTTTCAAGAAGCGTGACTGTTGCATCAGAGACTGTTATGGGAGATGGCGCGTTCTCCGATCGTAACGTAACCGAGAGTCCCGTGGGTCGTTTCAATCTCAAGGAACCTTCCGCGGGTCCTAATTCGGCGCGGTATCGTCTCAGAAAATTCTGACCCAACTTGCCAGTAAGCTTGCAGAATAGAAAAGAACCTGGGCCCTCACGCAGTGCACCTGCGGCCTCTAGCTGCCACACAAAGTTCATGATGAACTTGTTGGTGTCAGTTTCCTGAAGGACAGCCAGCTGTGTTGCATAGCACCTGCTGGCCATGTTGCATTCCCTGTATGCATTGAGTGTTATATCCATGTACATAGATATGGGCCACAACCTTTTGTAAATGGGCCTATAACCTTTGCAAAACAGCTCAATCCTGTTAGTGAATGCATGATGTCTTGACACTTCACACGAACTTCCAAATCTGTGCTTTCAGGTGACCCCTACAAGATGACTGCTCGTGGAGCCATGATGCGGATGCTGCCACCTATTAATCTACGAAGCAGCCCACGCCGCTCCTTTAGCAAAACATGCGGCACACGGTCGCGTACCTTTTCGGCAGTGAAACCATGGGATGGCCTTCTGGATGAGTTGGAGATGCTGAAAGGGCAGCTGGATGACAATGAGCGAAGATTTATACCTGTGTTGCTTGCGGGCGATCAGCCAACAGACCAGGGCTTCCAGGCAGCTGCAGATGAGGCCGAGGTGCGTGCACCGATGCAGGCCATGGCTCAGTTGGTCAACTCGGTGGCAGCATCCATGCACATCCAAGGGAGGCTCAAGGGTGGAGGCAGCGGTCGCGGCATTTCATCAACAGACTACATCATCCAGCTGAGGCATGGAGACATAGGGCAGCAGAAGCAACAGCAGTGCAACGGTCCCTCCTGGGATGTTTATGGATGCATTGAGGTTAAAGGTGACTGGCAGTTTCCCTTGGAGGCTCATCACGATGTGTCGTGCATGCCGCTTGGGGAAATCAACCGCCTGGGCCTGGACAAAGCGCTGCAGCAGTGCTATGGCGACATGGTGATGGATGAGGCCCCCCTAGGGATGGTCACACGGCACAATTTAGCGCTGCTGCTGAAGCGCTCACCAAACGTTGCTGATAAGACTCTGTATGTGTCACCAGTCATCGGCCTGGACAAGATGCTGCTGGCGCTGCTATTCCTGCTGCAGCAGGCAGATCTGCTTGAGGGCATGAAGAAGTTGCTGCCACGTGAGGCGGTGCCCATCACACCTGGCAAGGGAGACAACACACAGCGCGAGCTAAAGCGGCGCCAGTCGCTAAGGTTGCAGGAGCAGCGGCAGGTGAAGCAGCGGTCTGTCCTACCTGGCCAAGGCAAGGTCAGCAAGCAAGGCCCGGGCAATGGGAACCACATCAGCCTCTTCTCCATCAAAGGTAGCAGTAGCACAAGCAGCAGTGGCGGTGGCAACACCAGCAATAGTGATAATGCCAGCAGCAGTGGTATGCACATTACCAACATCATCAATGTCCCGCTGGAAGGGAAGGTGCCAGGTGGACTTAAGCAGTTGACCCTCAAGCACGGCAGCCAGGTGCTGCTGCCCCTAGAACTGTGTGGCTTTGGAGATGTGGGCCTCACCGGCCGGTGTGTTGGATATGGGTGCTATGGCAGCGTGCTGCAGGTATGTGGGGTGGTTAGGGCAACTTTGCATAACATTTAGGGCAACTTAGCATAACATATGTGACAGGCTAGGGGATTGGGTTGTATAGCAAGGCGAATGAGAGCTTGCTGTAGTAGCTGGTACAAATCTCGTCCACAAATACAAACCCTAAGGTGCTCCACCAGCATCTTGAGGCATTTTCAGCAGCCAGCAGCTACACTTGCATTGTTCAAGGGCTTCATGCATTGCACCAGAAGAGGGTGTGTGTCATATGCCAGATACTGGTTAGTGCTGACATTTGGTTACCGTGCTTCACATTCCCCTTCTCAGAAGCTCAGACCTTGTTCCGGATGCTGTTGCTGTGCAGGGCACCATAGGTGGCGTGGCGGCAGTGATCAAGCTGTTTGAGCAGAAGCGACAGGGAGCCGTGGAAGCCTTCACACACGAGCTTGCTGTGTACTTGCGCCTTGGCAGCAGCATCAGTAGCAACAGCAGCAGCAACCTGCAGGGTGCCCCGCTGGTGCCACGGCTGCTGCGGTATGGCATGTTTGCACACTCAGGCGCCCTGTTCCTGGCACTGACTGATGAGGGTGACAACCTGGAGGCCGGAGCCGGCCGCAGCACAACTGTCGCTGGTGATGCAGCTGCCAGTGGCAGCAGCGGCTGCAGTTTGCGTGATGCTGGGATTTCACCAAAGCTGCGCACTGCAATGCTGCGAGCACTGAGGGTGCTCCACCGGGCAGGTGTACTGCATGGGGACATCCGCCTGTCCAACTTTGTGATGGGGCGGGATGGGGTTGTCAAGCTGGTTGACCTGGGGAATGCCAAGGTGGTGGGTGGCTTGGAGGCAGGCAGCAGCAGCTACCAGGCGGCGATGGAGGCCGAGGTGCAAGCCGTGCATGCTCTTTAGTCTATGATGTGACATACACAAGTGCACAATATCGATTGCCATGCAACAGTGGGGTCTCTTGTGAATGGAAGGGCAAGTTGCAAGGGTCGTAGTGACACCTGAAGTAGAGTAGTAGGGGTATACGTAGTGTTACAGAGCTGGGTGGTCATGGGATGTGGGGATGGGTTTGAGGTGGTGTGTGACTCTACTGCCAACCAGCCCTTGCGGTGGGGTGTTGTTGTGTGAGCATACTAAAATCCCAACAGAGCATACCTGCATCTGCTATCACAAGTAGTTTGTCTTGTTTGAGGGTTGCAGTGGCAAAACCTTCTCCCTCCTC